TCGTGCAGGTCTGCAAATCAAATTTCAAGGAAGAGGAGATTTGCAGTGGCAAGGCTGCATTTCCGTATGCTTGGCAAGGCTGAGCAGATGCCACTTCGCCGGAGGGATGGAGGAACGAAGAGTCTCCAGGACATCATCACGTTGTTAAAGGAGACCGACCCAGAAAACGTACCTGCTTTCGTGGCGATGGAGCCGCACAAGCTGCCCCCCGTCACGTTCGACCACGTCGATGTCACCAGGCTGCTGAAGGACATGACGTCCCTAAAAACGAGCCTTGCTGAAGTTCACTGTAAATTGGAGGCCTCGGACAATACCATCAGTGAGTTGCGTGCCCAAGTTGCGTTACTGAGTAGTGCGGCTTCGGAAACTAGGTCACCCGAGGCCCGAGGCCTGTAACGTGAATACTTGTCGCGGGGCGCGAACCGCATCTATCGGCAGTTTTGAGTCGGCCCTTGCGTCGCCGACCACTGTCACCACGTGCGTTTCGCCGCTCCCCGCCCCTCGTTCTTCCGCCCCGGCGGCCAGGTCACGCGTAAGCATGTTAACCCCTCAATGTGACTACGATACTATTGCCGCTGCTAACCGATCCAGTGCTCCACAACCACAACCCAGGAAGTTACCAACAAAGGGAGAGAAAATGAAACAAATACTGATCAGTACCACCGAGAAGAGTTGAACAGTGCGACGAGGACGGTTTCAAAAAGGTAGAAAGGAAGATGTACACCAGCCGTAACCTTAGTGGCACCGCCCCGTCTGGCCCTAATCATTTACTGCGTCCAGCGATACCGACGACGTTGTTATACGTGTCACGGCTTCATTACTCCACAGTCTGCCGACATTGTGGAGTACATACGGGTGAAAGCCGATGCTATCCTGCGGGTCGAGCAGTTGGTGTCCCGCCACTCTATAAATTTTAATTCATTTGTGGTGAGAGTACCAACTCGACATCTGTCGATCTTCATGAAAGATGAGTTTTGGCCAAAGGAGGTCATGTACCGATGTTTCCGGGGCCGGCTATCGGACACCCACGTTACATCACATGTCGCAGACAATACTTGTAAATAATAATTAGTCAGTATTGTTTTTATTGTATTATTATGTATGTTAGTCTACAAGGTATGTATTTATTGGTCTTTATAACTTGAATGCAAATAAATAAATAAAATAAAATAAAAATTACCTCAAATTCGTTTATTTTTATTACAAAAAAAGAGGTGGCATTTGCTGCTTATTCTTTATATTTTATAAGTAACTTATTCTTACACTAACCATTTGTTGTTTACATAATTTCTCTACAATTACGTCATTCAGCGCGTTTGGTATAAGCGTAACGAGATCTACAATTACGGCGTGAATTCCGCATCTGCGCCCGCGCAAATACGCTTCGGCTTAAGACGGTATAGAACGTCAAGAGATTTGCTGCGCAGTTCAAGGTTAATACGCATTAAATCGTGCCAGACAATGACGTCATCAGCACGTATAGTGTTGCATTGATAATACTAGCTTTTAAAACCAAAACGTAGCGCTCGCCACAGTATTGAGTATTAGACGTTACTCTCCAAGATAGCGCCAAATGTAAGCTAATATTACGGAACATTCTTTATTTTTTCATGTTAAGTTGCCCATAGACATTTGCAACACCGAAGGAGCTACTTATATGTTGCCAGCCTTTGAAAGCCCATGTCACAGCACAATGGCAACTCTTACAAAACTATTTTAAACGGTAATAGCAAAACAAGATTGTTCAGTCATCTCAAATTATTATTATTAACAATAAAATACCTAATGTTATTTCTACACACCATTATTATTTAAAAAATGTTGTACAAGTCAAGGGTCCAAATATGTTAAATAATGTACTTAAACTAGATACTTTTGTAGCTACAATATAACATGTGGGCCCTCGTAGATCAGTAAGTAGTCTAATATTGCAGGCTTTTTATTTGTACCTATTTGAAGCATTGGAATTGTGTCTTCAGGTCAAATGACGCAATAAGTTGTCACCACGCTCCGAAACAATTACTGTCAAATAATTAATACTCAACCCTTAGACTATTCCTTTATTTTTTCCATTCTCTAAGACCACCAATTCAAGGCAATGTCAAGTATTAGTGATGCAACGAAAGTGTCATAACGGGAACGGAAACAGATGTCAATAGTAAATCTTAGCAGAAACGGAAGCGGATGTAGTAGCGGAAGTGTAAATACTATAAAGATCTCAATGAAACAGTTCCAAACACGGTTTCATAATTACACATTTAACACAAAACTGCTAAGGACCATGTGACACCCGTCGCAAACGTTATAAACTTCCGATAAAAGTTTCGTTATAAAAGTTGCAGAAGCAGAAGCGGAAACATGAGAAAATGCTAACGTACGCACATGCGGAACTTCCGCACTTGCGGAAACAGTAACAGAGGTCTGTTGCATCACTATCAATATGCACATCGATTTTTCTTTTTTATAAGAACTATACTCTGTCGAACGATTTATTTAACTTTTGACATATGTTTGCCTCCGAACTTCCGTAATTATTGACCATGGACAAAAAAACTAATACTTCCTGGACTCTTTTATTTTTAATTTTAGTGAAGAGACGTGATCTTTAGCTCCGACATTTATCGAGTCAGACAACAGATTATGTAACAAAGATAATTCAAGGTAAGATAAATTTTGGTACCTAATAGTAAATTATAAGGAGATGAAATAAATTATAAACAATTCTAATAACGTCTTATTGTTTGTTATATTGATGCTTCTCCACATGAACGTCAATCATCACTTGAATCCTCATTATCATTAATGATTAATTCTTGAGTGGAAAATTTGTCAAACGCAACATCACGATCCCAATCAGACATTTTTTCGTTTTAACCAGTTCACATACACGAAAAAAATTCCTTCATAAATAAAATCGATTGTTATGAAAAATCGAATCAGAAACGCATTATTAGGACGTCACTAATTGATTAGAATTCGAGTTGTCAAAAGTTAAATAAATGGTTGGATAGAGTATATAACTTACCAAGATTGTTTTTCTTTACATCTAAGCCTTTGTTGCGGTGTAAGCAATTCCACAAAATCGTTTACACCGTCAGTTAATAAATAATTATAAGACGTTTTAATTTTAAATTTCAATCAATGTGCTGCCATCTAGCGATCAATAGCTAAACGACGACGAACGATTAAGACCTACAAACCGTGGAAAATTCGAGATGTTTACCTTAGTTCACTTCACTTCATTGGGAATGAAACCATGTTTTCCAATCAAAATTGTGTATATTTGTTTTTTTTTATTCAAATGTTTCGGGCTCCTGTAGGCCTTAGTGTTAAATTATCAAATATGTAATTAACTATCGCGTTTATGTCAAGATTTTAATTCAAACCTTATAAATATACAATTAAGGTCTAAATAAAAAAACTTGACGCAAACGCGGTAGTTACTGAATGATTATAAATTTACACTCAGGCCTCAAGTCCCATGGTCATTGCGATGGTATTTGTCATCAATAAGTTGACAAACCACCCTATTAGTTAAAAAAACATAATTCATTTTTCTTTTTAATTTAAACAAAAAAACCTTTACTTGTATTCTGCGGTCACCATAGAATATTAGCATTAGGTTTGTTACGCATGTTCAACCCCAACTAGTGAAATGCTGAATGTAGATTGTTTTGTATCACGTTTGGTTATTACTTCTTTCTCATGTTAGTGTTCACTATATAATTTTTGTGGTAATTTTTAATACAGGGTTTTTTATAAGATACTAATAACCAAGCAGGACTGCAGGACTTTTTTACAAAATAATATTGCCGCCGCAAGTTGAATGGGCGCGTGTGATAAAAACTCAAAACCGAGAAAATAATGTGTAAAGAAATTAAATAAATCTGCTTTTCTCCTGTGTTAGCTTTGTACCATCGAGTATATAACCAAAAATAGAGATAATAATGTAATTTAATTTGTTTGAAAACTATTCTGCCAAATCATTACATTGACAGCTGCGTTCGGATTGGCCAGCCCGAATTCGAAACAATTGACGGATGTCGTCAATTGTTTCACTTCAAATCGACCAATTTATAATGGACGAAATATGCAAAATCACATATTTAATTATTGATGAAATGTTTGTTTTGTAATTATATATTTTGCTGTTTTTCCTGCAACACCGAATGGAACAGCCCCCCATTGTTAAAGATATTATCTTTATTACAATAAACATAGAATATTTTTAGACTATACAAAGACGTACACAGGTCAGTTGTTGGCGCTGTACTATTTCAGTTTTCTAATTTGTGATTTCAGCGCAAACGAGAGTTGATATTTAAAAGCGATATAAGGCGAACTTGCCTGATGGGTTGCCAGTGATGGATGGCCCTTATTTCGTCTCTATTTCTGGTTATATACGAGATGTTTTTACTATTTCACCATTGAAGTAAATGTATGTTTGTATACACGAATATTTCTAAAATACTAAACAACCTTGCAGGACTATACTACTTATATTATTATAACAACAACTTTTGTTCCATGTCTTTTAATAAATCATTACATTCTACTTTCATATAACAACAAAAATTATTAAATAGATTGCTCTGAACGTTGATAACTCTGTGCAATACGGAGAAGGCTTGCACAATTGAACTTACTACGTCACTACCAGATCCAAATCTAAAAAGCGTCACATAGTACAACAAAAAATTTAAGAGTAGATACTACCTCAGTAGGGCTAGTACAACGTCTCCATAAATTCCAACAAAAAAAAAAAAACAAATAATCTAATTGCAAAACAAACAGAATCGTTTTCATCGGTAATGAAATATTAAATATTTTTTTAATTTTCGTCCATTATAGCAAAGCTCAAGTTAAACTGGTCGATTTGAAGTGAAACAATTGACGACACCCGTCAATTGTGTCGAATTCGGGCTGGCCAATCGGAGCGCAGTTATCACCGTAATGATGGCAGAATAGTTTTCAAACAAATTACCACAGAAATTAGACAAGAGCACACTAACCCGACATGACCTGATGATATTAAGTTTCGGTTGAGAAAACGAGATCCAATGTTTTTAGAGTTTTAATTTACATTTCTTTACTCCTGCTTTATTATTGTTACAAACAACAATCCCAGTGCTTCATAATGGCAATTTGTCAATTTTACTTCTAATACTATAGATTATTTATTCTCTGTTGTTTCTTCAGTTTCTCCTATCTGCTCGTTTTATAGCATAGTTCCAATCTCATTTACTAGAATTTGGTAATCTGAAACAATGTTATTATTCAAATAGTAGATAAGATAACACAATGCGAAAGAGTTTATTGAGGAAAGTACTGCCTTCCTATTATTGCCATGGAATTTATTATGAAACAATTGTTTTTCCTAGTATACAAAAGACAGCAGTATGATATCGAGTTGCGGACACCAGCCCATTACACCGTACATAATGTGTACATACATCCCCCTTGAGCTGGACAGTCCTGCTTTGAAGCCGGACAATAAGTTTAAAAAAATGGCTTTAAAGAGTAGCACCAAGTAAAAAGAATGAATGTGCTGCTTTCTTCCCACTTCCCACACATCCCACTCTGTGGGAAAAGGACAATGGTCAAGTTAACCCATTGAGTATATAACCAGAAACAGAGACGAAATAAGGGCCATCCATCCCTGGCAACTCATGAAGTAAATCTATATATGTATATATCACTTTTAAATATCAACCCAAATATTATTTTCTCTAAAACCTTTGGCGTCCTAGAACTAAAAATTTGTGTGGAGGGGTGCCTTTAGGTCTATCTTTAAAATTAATTTGAATGCCCAACTCAATGTCACAAATTCTAACGTTGAGCCTTTTAAATGTTGCATAGGCTCTTTAAGCTTCCCACTCGGATTTATTAACTTGGAATTTATTGTCAATGTTTAGATAGTTCGTGGCAAATGCTGTATATGCCTATAATGAGCAAGCATATTTATATTGACACCAGGGTTTATAACGTGTTATGACGCCTATTGTTATACAGTAATACCCCGCTTAGCGTGACTCCGTTTTAAGCGGATGCATTGATGTATTGATTAATCGGATTTGATTGGCTTATTTGCAGGCATGGTCATGTGTTTCAATTAGCCGATAAAAACCCGTAGCTTCCTAGTAATCAAAAGTGCATTGTCAGTCGACTCAAAAACTCAAATAAATAATAGTTCTTTCTTGGTAGCTCCCTTAATTTGTGATCACATTGGTACTTTTTGCGAACAATGGTGCCACCGGTTAAGAAAAAGGAGTGTAAGAGCTTGAGTTTGGAGATGAAGATAAGTTTTAGAAAAGATGGATAAGAGAGGCAAAGCTACAGAAGTTGGATGACAATTTGGCCCTCTCAGAGTCAACAAAAAAACTTTCCACAAATATTTCACATAAAAGTGAAATTAACTAAGATTTTATTTCATTGCGATAAGTTTTCTAATGTTTTTTAATAAACTTATCAGCTCACGCGATACATGCAGCCGTAGACGCATACCACACCTAGAGGTGCCGGTGATGATTTTTATACTGATTTATCGGATATCGAAGTTATAACAGGTAAAAGAACTAATATTAATTGCTATTTCGGTAACTACTCTAGCAAACCATAAAGTTTTAATGCCTGAGTCTGTCATTTAAAAAAAATAAACAACTTCAAAAATACGTCACAACAATCGTGTGTGTTATTTTGTGGGCTGATGATTTCGGTGTTTATTTATTAAAAACATACCGTAAGTAGCGTTTATTAAGTTTACCGTGAATATAAATGTTTACAAACTACACTTTAAGGAGTAATTTCATGGTAAACGTTAGAACCACTCAAACGGAATATTATCATATTTACCCAAGTACACCAAAAATTTCATTAGTGCTTTTTAAGTGCAGGATTTGCGGTGCATTACTGCATTTTACTTGAGATGTGTTTGTTGTAGTACGGAGGGTATTTATTTAGCAATGCAGAATAATAATTTTTATTTATAAAAACGTGTATTTAAACTGAATCTTTTTCTAATTTGCGAAACCAAATAGCCGCTATTTTGCGGTAGGATGAGCGCATCGCGTGAGCGATAAATAAAGCAGCTCTATACCTGTTAGCAGTCGTTAGGTCAAGTTAGAGACCCTAGTGTGACCAAAAATCTATGACACACAAAAAAAGAACAACCCCATTTTACGCAATTTTCAGTTAACCTGGCACCAATGACGTTGGGAGTCGCCGGTGTACTAAGTGTGAGTTAAGTCAAAACGGGTCAATATGACCCAGCGTCATCACTGGTGTGGTATTTTTGTGACTGATATTATTGGTTTATTTACTGTTTATAATTAATTCATCTTATTTCTGCTGCTTGTTGCGTGCTGACAGACATCAATTTTATCATGTGGCACCAATACGTGAATTATTTTCACGTCACTGGCGCCAGGTTAACTCTATTTAGTCCGGAATGCATGCCTAGCGTAAAGCGGTGTATTACTGTATATGTTTGCTGTTGGTGTACCTTTTTATAAAATAGAATTATTTGAACAAATAAATATGACATAAATAATCAATAATACACGTACCTCAACATTCCATAGGCGCTATAGAATTTGAATTGTCACCATATCCACTTAAGCTGCCCTGAAATTCCATTCCACTTATCTGACTATCAGCGTTAAAGCTAGCACCGTACGAATCATTACTCGGAGCATGGGAAGCTTCTAGATTGCCATCTCCGGAATCCGTCGCGCCTTGTTGGTCTGGTTCCGCCCAGTTAATCTTAAATCTGGTCACTCGAGGCTCTGAAGCTAATATATTTCTCACTACTTTGTCGAATTGGGGCTTCGCTGGTGGATTCTCACGTAACTCCGGCTCAGATTCACTATATTCGTTATTGATAAAATAACCAACACGAACAAACTCCTGCCCACGGTAAGAACACGTTAGTAAGACTACGGTTACGCCGAGAGCATCATTTTCTGGTATCCGGTTGACATCTGGAGATGGTGCTTGGAAGACAAACATGTGACGACCCTCGGGAATTGGACCCACGTATATAGTATCTAAGACCTGATCATGCTCCTCTGTCTCTGCTGAACCAACGTATATCATCTTCCATTCCAGGTCTTCTTTAAGTTCTTCTATGCACTCGAAGGTCAATTCGAACTGGAAAGGGTTAAGAAAGGGACTGGGATTGTCGAGAACAACCACATTGGTTATGTGCACTTTTGCCATTTTACTGTCGTTCTATATGCGATTTTTATAATATTAATCCCGTTAAACAGCGATGGTTGCACGAAATAACGATTTGAAAAGATTAAACAATCGAATTCAGATGGAAAACGTTTTATTTTTCAACGGAAAAACTGTATTTGTCGGCGAAAAAGTGACAATTATTTTGGCGGTTCCAGGGGTCACGTGACCAAAATAATTAACGACACAAGCGCTACGTAGACGAGAGGAACTAAAATTAAAAAGTAAAAGTTTTGACAGCAACTCGTATGCAATGATACAGCTAATAATTTTAAATATTCCCCACATAAAAGTGCATATGTAAAACATGGATCACACTATTAAAGTTGGAAATAACACAAAGTAAAACAGGAAAACTTACATTTCGCCGTGTTTCCAACAATATCCACCGGCTTATCACGCAACCACACAAAACATCACAACATCAAGACGAATCAACGACAAAAGAGCAACCAATTGACACATGTCTTAAAATATTGCCATTTGTGAAAATAACTGTTGTAAATTGACTATAACTAAACTTGTAAATCAGCTGATATAGCACAAAAATATTTACATGTGTGTGGTTTGGCAGTGGTAATCTAAATAAATTCTTATATAGTTCTTATGGACCATTGAATAATATTTATCACAAATATACATTTTTTTCGCTCGATCCTTTTTTTTCCACTCTTATTAATCTCGTTTCCAAATTTCCATTTTATTTAAATTAAAGTTCAGTTTCCCCATCTTAAAGACGTTTTATATTTTTTGTCAGTGACTGAAACGCTCACCGTAAAAAGCCAAGAAAAAAATGCATGTCATGATCATGAATGTATGTAGATGAATTTCTTTTATTTTTTTCCATCCTGAGATGAATGTTGTTGGTTGTTAATTCTTATTTCTTAGAATAAATAAATAATCTCCGATTGCTTAACCTCCGTGGCCGAACGGTTACCATGCCGGAATGCTACGCAGAGGTCCCAGGTTCAATTCCCAGGCCGGGAGAAATATTTATATGGCCTACATTTATTTCTCTCGTGAGTTTGGGTGTAATTTGTGGTTGTCTATGTGTGTGTCCATGGCACCCGGGACACAGGGTTTTCCTAGTGCGGGGCTATGTTGAGTGTGAGCGTTATTATTATTATTATTGGTATATGATTAACAGATGTTATATGAAATTGGTTCAGGCCAAGCCTAATAGCCGCCATTAAGTAAACAATAATAATATCGTCTCGACACGTTTCGAACGACGACACGTTTGTACGTTTATTTTATCGTTGAACGACCGTCGAGTCTAACTGTTCCCACTAAATTGTGTAGAAAATTTATCGGTTTACGGCAGCCGTCTTGTCGTTTGCACGACAGAATCGTATGAAGCTGCGATTATCTGTCGTCACATTTTTGTCATGATGACATGTTTATCGTCTGACGACTGTCGTTTTAGCTCTTACTACTTTCACGACAGTCAGTCGTCGTAACGTCAAAAGAGTCGTGAACGACAGTTAATCGTGTTTTATTACGTGTGAACAATTTCATTTAAATATAGAAGCCACGACACTTTAAACTGCACGACTATCTGTCGTCACACCATAATGCGAACGCGCCCTAAGTGTCGGTGACTATCGTCAAAACTAATGTAGAAAGATATGGGGTCGGACATAGCTGTATATCAAAATTATTTTATAGTGAAGCTATACGCTAAGATCGCAGTTTACGAAAAACTAGATGAGATATGAAACGGTGAATAATCTTGGAATATTTTAAATGATATTTTATGAAACAAGCTCATTTGAAATGGAGTAAAAAGTTAACATCCACTTTAAAAGAAAAGGATTCGATATTTACGTAGAGACTGAGAGTGTTTATGGAGATTTTTGTTCGTTATTTTTTTATTAGTTGGAAAAAATGATTTTAAGACTTCAATTCTAAATACACTACGGTTATTTTTAAATTGAAATACAAGTAATCTCCTTTGCCATACCTAAACATAGAAAATGTTTGTATACATAGAATGTATGTTTGTTTTAGAGGATGGAAAGAAATAAAGTGTTTATATGTACAAACACTTTATTTTTTTCATCATGAATATGAATGTTCATATTCATGTACTTTTTTCAACTTCAATTGCAAAGGCAGCTTAAAAACTATTGTGGTGGTAAGTTCCACTGAAATATTTCTATAGGTAAGTCGTACATAGCTTGGTTAATATACTAACAACAGTTCTTATTTTAATTGACATATAGTTGATCTTAAGTGTTAAGCTAACCAACCCATAAACCATTGCATAAAATTAAGTTCATCAAGTTCTTCGAGTATTATCGCGCATGTCGTAGTGTATGATACTATTAGGAAATATTTAATTTAAATTATGAATTTATTTGAATTGTAGTTAAGTTTTTAAACATCAAGAAATAATCTCCTATGGATCGATGTTATTAAACATCGTTCAGAGAAAGGACGTTTTTATTTCAACGTTCTATTTTATATAACAAAATTGCGTTAAGTGTCTGCTTTTATATTTTAAAACGGCAATAACATCTCAAAACGTCAAATTAATTAAAATGGCGTCGTTGCTTTGTGCGCGATTGTGTGTGATTTGTCAAAAATAGCAATAAATAGTAAAAGTTTGCACTTTATACCGTAATAAACAGTACAAATACGTTAAGTGTTACAATTACTTGGTAACATGAAGGTCAAACACTGAAAGTACATCGTTAAACCGTGAAAAACCTATTGCATATCAATAGCTATAACGTACCTAATTAATTTCACTTTCTACTGAGTTTTTGCTGCTTTTATGTCATGCATTGCACTTTGATTATTAACTTTTACTGTTACTAACGCGCCACACAGGCCAGTGTACTTGAAAAATTTATTATGAAAGTATAATTGGAGACACGCATGAGTAGCTTGGTTATTTACTTTAGTTAGTATGTACTCCTTGTGAGGATACATGCACATAGTTTTTCGTTGAGTCACCGCGCTTATACAGTCCTCGACGTCCTATTTAATTAATGCCAACGCTCAACTGTCCCTAATTTATTACTTTCAGACACTTTTGTGTATGTGACTCAAAGTATACATCAACAAGTTGTAAATAATTTGTGTATACTCTTTAAATGCTTCCATGAACTTGTGGTGTGGTTGTTTTTGTTTTTAATAACAATAGGTTTGATTTTTGGCAAAACCAACTTGGAAATTTTGTAAGTTATTGCATAAGTATATAGTTATAGGTGTAGAAATATTACTTGCACCAATGAATGTAATCTCTTGGTACTGCTTATCCTTTCTATTACAATACAGTAATAAAACCAAGAATATTTCTTTTACACTTAGTGTACTTGAACTTGATGATCTTGGTCCATTGTACAAGTCATGGATGCGATAAATGCTTTTTCTGAATTATGGTTTTGAATTATGTCTTGAACCATCAGGCCGTTATTTTAAAATGTGGAGTTACTTCGTAAAATACTGACTCTTTTCTTACTAATTCAACAAAGTTAGTGCTGTATACTGCATGGTTCACAAAAATGGGTGATATTCGTGATTATTTGAAAATCCCTACTGTCGAACAGGCGATAAGTAGCTTTACAAAAGCCTATCACAGATAAGGACAGAATCTCTCGACATGAAAACAGGCTTGCACAAGTTCCGAACAAACCGCTAAGCAACACAACGATTGAACACAGGGCGAGCGAGCCTAACACGCCAAATAGATTATAACAAAACAACTGCTCATGGTCCATGGACCGATTGCGTGTTGCAAAAGGCATAAAAAAAAAAGAAACAACTGCCAATGCGTAAAAGTGTTTAAACCAATTGTTTGCAATATCCAAATGGCACATGCATTACCCAGATGGCTCACTCTTTTGTCCTATCGTACTCTAAAGGTTTCGTCAACAAGAATTAAGTAATCCCATAAACACTTTCATTCTGGCAAGTCATACACCTGAGAAATGTTGTCACATGACAATTGTAATCAATAAAAAGCATAGTGTTAAATATAAAAATAATAAATAAAATAAAAATAGCCTTTATTCGCTGATTACTTCTCAATTAATTTTAAGTTTAACCTAATGCTTACTTCTAACAGTAATAATTCTTAATTCTATCATTAGCATCAATTCTTGTTCCAAGGTAGTCCTCCGACATAGGCCTCCTCCATATTTCTCCACAAGCAACAGTCTTGTGTCGACCGACAATAAATCATAGTAGTATTTTATTGTGAACTAGCTAGTGCCTGTGACTTAGTCTGTGTAGAACAAGTACTTCGAGTATTCCACTGTACTATACTAATTTTCATAATCTTATAGGTTCTGCATACAAACCCTATTTCACCCTCTTTAAGATTTATTTTTGTGACAAAAAGTAGCCTATGAGTCGGATATCTCTATACTAGCAATGTACAATTGCGAATGATTCCTTTATTAGACTTGTTAGTAATTACTAATCTCGTCATTCAAATAACAAATGATTAACCTACTAATTTTTGTATTCAAATGGTTATTCATTACTAATCTATAGATTACAAAGAGCACAACAATACTCGTGATCACATTGCCCTCTCTGCCATTAGTGGTAAATATACCGTACATATATAAAATACCATAAGTGTGATGGGGACAAAGATGTTTAAATATAGACATGTTGAATGATATCGTGGAGTTCTGAGTAGTTCCGACATAATATTCATTCGACTTGTGCATGCTACCAATAGCTTGAAAAGCCACAAACATTTATTAAATGCAAAAGTTACCTTCATTCCAACACTTGTTCAAGTTTTCTGAAGTCACTTACACTGTTTATGCAAAATAAACTTGAAATATACTTATCATGTATTGTACCTATATACTAAATCTATGGAATTGTCAGCGTTCTATTGTCAATACTAAACTATTACAAAGATAAGAATATGCTTAATTAAACAAACTTGAGATGATAAGAAGATATATTACAACATTGTAATGACACCATTTCTTATACATATAATTGTTACCTTTGCGTCACCTAGGTAATGTGTATGTAACCATTATCATTGTGATACTTTTAATTGGACATATTAATCTATTATTATACAAGTTATCTATAGAGAATGCACTTATTTCAATATTAAGATAAAACAAACTTATATGTAACACAAAACTGTTAGGTATACAGGGTGACAGGTTAAGTCGACGTAGATCCTTTAGGGGCTTGTAGTTTCCACCATTTCTGACTGATATGACTATGAAACACTCTACCCTAAACTTAACCCTTTTCAAGATATTTGACTTTAAGGGTTTTTTATAAAAATTGCCAATTTTATGTCTATTAGGTTACATACTTCGAAATTTGTGAGTATTATGATTATTTTTTTATAATTACTACTTATAAGATAACATGTTTTATAGCTTTAATAACCAAAATTGTAGGTAAATTAACTAATTGGGTCACAGGAGACGGTTGAAAGTTGACAAAGTTAAGAAATTTGTATCATGTTTATTTTTCTTTGAGGATTATGTAAAAAAAAGTATATGACACCTGTACGGCAGGCATGCTTAAAAATATCTACGTTTCATTAGCTATCTAAAAAGGTATAATAGTACTAGGGTTTTGTTGCAATTCGTAGAAAAACTTTAATTAAATGCTACCAGGGAGATGAACAATAACGGTTTTAATGCGTCTAATTTATCACTTCTTTCTAAAATAATAATACAATATGTAAGTACAAAATAACATTTATTCTGTCTAAATTTCGTGTTCAAAATGTCCGCCTCTGTTTCGCACACAAATTCTCATTCGTTTCCTAAGTCCAGTTTTTACTACACCAGTAGTTATACGCCCTCTTATTTCATTCGCCGCATTTATTATTCTCTCTCTTAAAACATCCACACATGTAATTGGTTGAGGCTCGCTGTACACAAGACTCTTCATGTGTCCCCACACGTAAAAATCCATGGGTGTGAGGTCTGGACTTCTAGCTGGCCAAGGTATAGGACCACCTCGTCCGATCCACTTGTTGGGATAATTTGTGTCCAGCTATTCTCTCACACTTCTCCTGTAATGTGCAGGGCAACCGTCATGCTTGTTGAATGTTTGGATGGGGATAATATCCAATTACTTGATTGGGCCTTACTTTCTCCCAGACAATTTAAATGGGGAACATTACGAAAACTTTTTAAGAAACCATTTACCCGATTTGCTGGATGATTTGCCGCTCAGTCTGATACGAGACATGTGGTTTCAGCACTAACTAAGCCACGGAACGATCCGGCGGACCAAACGAATTTTTCTATGTGCTTGTTTGTCGCATCCCTCTATGATTTCTGTGCTTGTTTGTCGGCGCCATCTATGAGAAACCTATGAAAGTATTTCGTCACCCAGTTAAGCACCTTTACAGCTACCAGTCATGGCTAGTGTTCTTATTGAATGTCAGGATGGTTCACCACCATTTGTATTAAATTGCTTTTTGTGACAATACTCCACTAGTTTATTCTTTGTTTGTTGTAATTATTAATGCAAATATCGAACACTTAGAAAAATTTCTTCGATTCTGTGTTTGTTGTCGGATTTTAACGACTTATTTGCCGTAACGCCATCTTTTTTTTTATAATATCAAGTGACGGGACGAACAAGTCCATAACACTTGCTGTGTCACTAGAGCTTTAAGTCGCAACCATCCGAGGGGCACGGAACACAGTGATGCTGACATTATGAAATTATTTTCTTCACCCAGTGAGATACCTTTACTACCACCAGCTAGCTAGAGATGTCACCTTTAATTGTAATGTCTTTTGTATTTTGTACCAAAAAGAAAAATATCAGTAATAATCTACTGGGGAAAAAAAAATTAAATTAGTATCAACATTGGAAATGAAACTATTTTTCCGGATTTAAATCGCGTGTATTTGTTTTTTCAAACAAACCGACGTTTCGGGCCCTTTACAGGTTCCATGGTCACGGTTGACTGAGGTGGTACAGTCTTCAACCAGTTATGTCTAAAATTGATGCAAACCACCCTATTTTTTCACTATAGTTACAATAGTTATTAATTAAATACCTTATTTTTAATTTTACAAAGAAAACATTACAATTTACGCTACATTAAGTTTTACAAATTATTTCATTGAATGAATTTTTATTAAGTTCAACATCAGATCAAAGTATCAACATTTTTATAGTAACTCTACTTCAGCTTATTTTTTAAAGCTAATACTGCCCACTGCTGTACAAAGGCCTCTCTCTATTTTGCGCCACTGAGGTCTAGCTTGTCTCTCCAGGGACGCTTTGGCCTGTCGCTTGTTCTTTTTCTGTATTTGGAGATCCAGACTGTGGTGGCCCATTAATGACTTCTTTTAACTCGCAAGAGAAAACTGCTTACATGTGTTTCCACCAACAAAGAGTCGAGCGGAAATGACTCAGCGCGCAAAAGGAGTAAAAATGACCTCGATCATTTTTAGAGAGCGGAGAAGAGTCATTAATGACTTCTTTTACCTCGCAATTGAAAGTTACTTAGTTTCCACCGAGAAGGGTTGAGTGGAGCGACCCAAAGGAATAAAAAGGTGTAAAACGAGTCCGCTGCATCGCGGCCAGACAAACTAGTTTGTAAATGACTCGATGTTTTTTATTTTATTTTATTCACAATTAAAAAGTTTACAAAAATGAACACGAGACAGCGAATAAAAACCATTAACAGATTTATGTATCGCTGCCATCACATGCTATCGGGCGTCTAACAAAATAATTACTGACCAATACTTATACATACGTATCTAATAATTTACGCAACTTACACTTAAGAACTAATAACTTTAACAATTTGATAAATGAATTGACCTAAGGATCGTTGTACAAGTTTTCGGTTTACCTATAAGTTTATCAAATACGTCACTTGGCAATTTATTAAGCAATTGTTTCCGCCCACCACTTTGCCCGCCCCTCACCCACGCAATTTTGTGGAAGCCGGCAGACGAATAGCCTATATTCCCCTTTTAACTTAACTTAAAATACAATAACCTGTACTTTTTCGCTCTGTATACTTAAGCAGTCTTCACTTGATTCTCACTCGACATCGCGAATTGGCAAAACAACACGATCGCTTGCAACCAGTTCAAAACTCCCAACTGTGCTCGCTCTCTGTGGAAATCGAGTAATCATTTTTTATTTCTCATTTTCCGTTCAGCTCGCTTATTCTTCTGTTTCATTTCTCTGCGGTGGGAATCAGAAGACTTTCTTTCTTGGTGGAAACGCAAACCTATTCGGCTATTAACCATTCAGGGTCATTACCAGTTCGCGGTGGGAACCGGGCTGTAGAAATGATCCCCCCAGTCCCATTTTAGTTTGCCCAGTTTAAATACAGTGATACATATTAACGATGATTGTAACACTATATATAGTGGAATTGTAATACCAGGGGGTTACTACTTTCGTTATCCGTCAGACGTTCATCGACAGTTTGTGTTTCGGACAGAGAAAGGGAGTGGAATAAGTAAGTAGCAGTAGAGCTCCTTGTGTAAGAGTTCGTCTAGGGAAGTACTGCCACCTTAACTATTGTAAGCATTATTGCGTTTCGGTTTTGAAAGATAAGGGTTCATATGAAATTATAGGCACATGAGACTTATCAAACTGTCACAGGGTGGCGGGCGCAGTGACAGTGGCCCCTCAGATCTTTGTGTTTTAAAGCTCTGAGTGACACTGCAACTGTTATGGACAGGCGTCTTGCGTACCATCAGGCGCACGCCTTGTTCGTCTCGTCACTTGATATGAAAAAATAATACGTACACTGCATTTAGAACTATGTCTATGAAAAATATAAAGTGGAGACATATTTTAAAATTTCATTATCTTAATTCCGTATAGATAAACAGGCATATAAATAACATCATCTTACACTGTCAGCAAAAATAAAAACTGTAAGCAACTCGACGTCTGGGCGCATATTTAGCCTGTGGTACCAATCACAAGGTCCAATTCGTATCACTTGAGCTCCTCCAAGAACCTCATCACCCTTCTGGGTCTGCTGAAAACTTCGGTGAACGGTCTCAAGATTTTTCGCCCTGTGGTTGCCCACGTCGGAGCATTATATCAAAAAACAGCTGTCTTTATTTATAAAATTTTAAATATACATCCTAAATACACATTCTGAACATTACAGGACATCTGAATGGGCCCCATGCAATGTCGGCGGGCCGCGACGAAGGCCCGGTGTACTACCGGGAGATTCAGAAGAACGCATACCTCAAACGGATACCTAATGATATCGGCGGCAGTAAACTTAGACCGTTGGGGCATAAGGTAACAACATAAAAATTATCACAAAAATACAGGGATATTTAATAAATAATAAAGTAAATTGCTTTCAATGCCAACTCCGTCGGTAGTTTGACAGTTCTAGCAGACCCCGCGATACAGGGTTTCCCTAGTGCGGGGCTATGAGTGAGTGCGCTCGCTGAGTGCGTTATTATTATTATATCTATTTTACACTCGCCTCTCCCAAGACCTAAAAGATTAATTTTGAATTTTTAAATGGAAGTGGCGGTATTCCCCGCCAATGGCACAGTCGACCGGGGTCAGGGACTCAGGTTCAAGAACCGGTAACCAATACGTGCCGTATCGAGCAAGACCGCTTTCTGCATTTGTGCTGGAAGCTACCGCCACAGAAATCCAACCGCCTCAAGCTGTATTTGTATTGTATTTATTTATTGTCACATGTACATAGTCAGGTGTTACAAATGGTATTTCATTAAGACTAAAATGTAGTACATGACCCTGAATAGGGCACTGCAAGTCAAGGCATTGTAAACAATATTAATTAATGATAATGAACACAAAAACTATAATAAAACAAAAATTAGAAAAGAAAATTGAGAGGCGTAAACAAAAATGTCAAGAATTAAAATTAAAAGTCAAAAATTAAAATTAAAATGTTAATTTAAAATTAAGAGCTAGTCATGAGAATATAATATTAGTTGTAGCATTGTCAGAAATACACTTAAAATAAAATAAAAACGCATTAACAAATTATTTATTACTTATTTTAATTTTGATTCGCTATGTCAAATTTGTTTATTATTGTTTAATAAAATATTATTGCATTATTTAATCATTTATGTAGTCTTCAATTGTGTAATAGCTTTTATTCGTTAAGTATTTTTTTAAACTTTTAAAAAACAATTTATCATTCACTTCGTTTTTTATTTCAGAAGGTATTTTATTGTATATTTTTATTGCACGATAGTATGGGCTATTTTTATACATTTCTACCTTGGGTTTGAGGAGTTCTAGTTGAGTACTCCTTCTCAAACTCTTTTTGTGTTTAAATTCTTGTATATGCGTCCTAATAAATGTTGCTGATTCAAATATATATAGCGAAGGCAAAGTAAGAAGGTTTTCTTTAATAAAGTATGGGCGGCAACTATCTTTGGGCCCCAAATTCATGAGTATACGAATGCATTTCTTTTGCATTACGAAAATATCTCCTTTATTTGTGCTACTACCCCACAGCATGACGCCGTATTTCAGCCATGCGTAGGCGTAGGCGTAATAACTCGTAAGTGCCGCTTTGTAATTTGTGTTCGTTTTCAAAAGTGCTAATGCATAAGTAAATGAAGATAACTTAGATTTTAATGTTTCTATGTGCGTTTTCCAATTTAGATGGGAGTCGATATTTATACCTAATAAATTAAAGTTTTCAACTTCGTCAATGTTTAGCATATTAACTACAGCTTTAAGGTCCAGTTTTCTCCTTTGATGTGGCCTGAATTGGATAAGTCTAGTCTTTTTTAGGTTGATATTAAGATTGTGGTTTGACAGCCAATTTTTAATCGAATTAAAAGAATTTAAAATATTATTAATACTGTCACTATCATCCTTACACCTGAATAGTAACGATATATCGTCAGCATACATAACGCACAGAGTGTTCAAGGCTTCCGGTAGGTCATTTATATAAATAACGAATAAGATGCACCCTAAGACACTGCCTTGGGGGATAGAATAATTAATAGTTTTAGTTTTAGATTTCACTCTGTCGATTGAATTCATGTCTTTATCCCAATATTCGATTTCTACATATTGTTGTCTATTTAGTAAGTATGACTGGAACCATCTAAACACTCTTCCTCTTACACCGATGTTATGCAATTTTTGTAATAATATTTCGTGAGACACCATATCGTAGGCTTTGGACATGTCGAGTAATAATCCTACTGCCCAATTTCCCTCATTTATATAATTATATGCTTCCTGTATATATTTAATTACCGCGAGAGTTGTTGAATGATTCTTACGAAAACCGAATTGATAACTATTTAGCAACTTATATTTCTCCAGAAACTGAGTTAATCGGTTAGCTACCACTTTCTCAATTATTTTTGATATAACCGGTAGCAGCGCAATAGGCCTGTATTGAGTGACATCATCTTTTTTGCCACTTTTTTTAAATATTGGTCTAATTTTTGCTACTTTGAGCCTTGACGGGAAACACTCTTCTTCAAATGACTGATTTATCAATGACGTTATTGGCCAGGATAATTCACTGGCGCAGGTTTTAATTAGTGCAGCAGGTATTTCATCTATTCCGTAACTGAATTTGTTTGGCATAGCTTTTATTATCGCGAAGACCTCGCGTTCGGTAGCGGGTTGAAGGTAAATTGAGTTTAGGACCGGTTTGACAGGCGGCGCGGGCGCCGGCCGCGACGGAGTGCGATGTTCGGCGCCCGGTACCAGCTGATGCGCTGACTCACCCAACGACGCAAAGTACTCGTTGAAAACATTCGCTATTTCTAAGGGGGATTCTTGAATCAAATTAGATACAGTCAATTTTATGTTCTCGTTCCTTTTTATATTAGTGTTTTGTTTGTTTGTTACGGTTTTTATTACTTTCCACATAGTTTTTGTAATGTTTTTCGATTTTGAGATCATTTTAGAGTAGTTAATTTTTTTACATAATTTAACAGATTTTTTAAGAATTTTTTCATATTGTTTGTAGTGCCTTTTTAATATATTATTATTCGTTTGATTCACAATTTTTTTAAGTTGTCTTTTATGTATACATGATTTTCTTAAACCAGCAGTCAACCATTTAAGTTTTTTATTGAGGATTAATTTAATGCGACGCCGCGGAGCACATTCGTCCATTATACTCGTTAGTTTATTTTCGAAAGCTATATAATTTTTGTTAATATTATTTGAGTTGACAAAAAATGTATTCCAATTTATTTTAGCAATTTGCGATTTAAAAAGCAACATATTTCGTTCTGAAAAATGTCTATTATGTAAGTAAACCTGGTTTGTTATTTGTAAATCATTCGTTTTTATTTCAATTTCAAAAATTATGCCTTTATGGTCGCTTATACCATTATCAGTTACAGTTACATTATATATTGTATAATTTGTAAACAGTAAGTCTATGCAACTTGAAGAACAATGGGTCACCCTTGTGGGCATATTTATCATTTGTTTTAAATTTAATTCTAGCATTATATTACATAAATTTGTATAGTTTGTGCTTACACCGTTGTTAGCTATATTAAAGTCACCGGTAATTATTATGTTTTTTGTTAATGATAACGGTTTTATTTTACTTAGTAATCTATTAAGAAATCCAAAGAAAATATTAATCTCACGATCTGCTCTGTATACACATATTACAATACAATTTAAATTAGTTATTTCCACGGCACAACATTCTACTACATATTCGATCGACAGGTTTGTGATATCACTGCGTTCTCTATAGCGTATCCCTTCACGTACCAATATTGCCACTCCACCGCCTTTGTGTTTTTGTCTAGTGTACGATGCTGCAATACTATAATCATGGATTTGTATGTATTCCTGTCTATCCTGCTTGAACCAAGTTTCCGTCATACAGACTACGTTATATTTTTGTTCCTCTAACAGACTTTCCAATATGTCTATTTTGTTATTTACGCTTTGGAAGTTTTGTGTGAATATTTGAAAATTATCTGTGAAACATCGGTTTATAAGTTGTTGATCTCCGAAATGTTTCGTCTTTTTCGTATGTGTTCCTTAATGTTACGTTGTTCTGTGTTGTTTCTGTTTTTTCTGTTTTTTTGGTGTTGTTATCCCGCTTTGGTTGTATATCCTGTGGCTGTATCGTTTTTCCATTTATAATCAAATTGTTTTCACGAATTATTGCATGATACCCATTTTTCCTTGCCTCGTATAGATGTTCTTGTAGTTTTTTCCTTCTTGCTCGTCCTTCTTCATCTAAATATTCTGTTACATGTAAGCCTGTGTTTCTAAAGCAATAAATACTCTGTAGAATGTTCCTCGTTATCCTCTTACTCATAAGTTCAATAAGTATTGGCCGACGGTTTCCTCGTTTTCCTATACGGGCGATGTCCTCCACAAAGCCTGTTATGTCTATTCCAGCAATTTCATAAATGGCATAAGTTATTCTACTTATTAATAAATCTTCGTCTTCTGCTTGTGTTTCTTCAAGGCCATAAATGACAAATTTATTATTATTTGCACAATCATGCGGTTTCTTATTTGAGCTTGGGGATATGAAATCTTGTTTATTACTATGATTAGTATTAGCACTCTGAGTTTGTTCTTTTTGTTTTTTAAAATGTTCTAGTTCTGTTTGTAACTTTTGGTTATTGTCTTCTAATATTTTTAAGTTTGCCTTTATTTTGTCTATTTCTGTTAAATTTTTTTCTTGTTCTGTTGTTATCACATTTATTTGTGATTGTTGGGATTTTAATTCTTTTTTAATCATTTCTAATGACATTTCCAATGAAATTGCTATTTTACCTAATATTGATTTTTCCATGTTTTCTAATTTTTTATCTAGTAGTTCGCCAATCTGTTGTAAAGTTGGCAGACTTTCTGGACCTGTGATTTTTTCTTGGGAGATGCTTTTATTGATATTAGGGTGAACCGTGTTTATGGTGTCTCCCAAGATATTATGGTTTGGTTGAGATTTGCTTTCTGAGTTTGATGTATTTGCGGATATTAGATTTCTTGGCATAGAATAGGCACTTTGCACTGGAGTACTGTCATTTGGGCAACTCTCATTTCCTAATGTATCGCCTAGGATGCTGGTATCGTCGGAGTGTGATGAATTATTGAAGCTATAATTTTGCCTTTTCCTAATGGTAACATTGGTTTCGCAATCTATGGGGATATGGATGTTGTTTTTAATCTCTTGTGGACGTATTGGGGTGTTGGAGTTGTCTTTTTTTAGCTTTTAGCTGTTAGCAACGCTGACTGGCATTAACCCATTTGCGGACAAAACAATTGTTATTATTATTATGTACAAGTTTAATTAAATAAACAATACCTGTATTATATAAACAAATAATATCATACCAATAACATTTTTCAATCAACGTAATATTGAATATGGTCAGAAAAATCTTGTTGATACTATCCCGTGTGCAGCATGACATAACTGTGACGTAAGCTGTCACTCCTCCCGCCCCGCGCAGCTACGTCAGGAACAGCGTCAGTTAAGCGGTAGGCCCACGGAAAAAAAGTGTCTTAAGCCTCGATAATATCACAACCGATGTCGCCAAAACTCACACATACTTAATTTAAAACACTACTAGAAAATCTTGATATTGATTGGTCGTACTTTCAACTTTAAAAAGAAATACAAATTTCTGGATTGGTAATGTAACTTACACTTTACCCTATTGGCATATAGTTCAACGTTCAATACCATCAATACTTATTATTGCAAGTTACGTTTTTATATTATATTGAGATTAATGTGCTGCCATCTAACGTTTAATTGCTGAACGACGACGAATTGGAGTTATTAATTTAATTTTCCAAAAAAGAAGCGACCGTATTGAATACAAGAATACAAGATATTTATTCGCTGAAAAATGTAGTTTACAATGGTGTTATAGTATATTATTATTAGATCGTACATTTCACCAAAACTTGGCATGCGAATATTTTACACAATTCTTATTTCAATCACGCACAGTGGTTAAATTTTACATTTTATGTTATCAATTAAAAATCATTTATATTGTAGTAACATTGTGTAACTAACAAATTATGTGATTTTATTTTAAATTACCTACAATTTAGTTCTTTAACTGCATCTGGTATTTTATTAAATAATTTAGGTGCCAATATAAACATCGTTCTATTGTAAAATTCCAAGGTGGGGCGTTGTTTTGGCGGTATTTCTATTTTGTTCCTTGTTTTCCTGGGAGTCTGTTTCACTAGATTAAAGTTGCCTGGATTTTGTTTTGTATAAACACAGGCCTCGTAAATATACATAGATGGTAGGGTTAAAATCTTTAGTTTTCTAAAATAGGGTACACAGCTTTCTCGCTGGCCCACATCAAACATGGCCCTGACACATTTCTTCTGGGTTTTAAACAGTGGTGTAATATGTGTTGCAGCAGCGTTCCCCCAAAGCAGCAGACCATGTCGCAAACTAGAGGCTACATAGGCTACATATTGCAGGGGCACAACCTTTACTTTTGTTTCTTGTAACAAAAAATTATTTCAAAAAATTGAAAATTGATTAAAATAAGCCTTTCCGATGATATGAAATACAACCACGGGTAACATTTTTGGTGCCGCTATTATTTTTGCATTTCAAAACAGCACAATAAAGCATTTTTCTAGGATTTTAGAGATTTGCACGAAAGAATGACACAACCATACCTTACAAAGCGAAAATGGCGGCCTGAGCTCAGATAGGGCTTTCGAGACCTATAGTTGGCACGCGTCGGAACTAACTAACCACTTCTACTTAAAAAAAAAAAAAAAACTAATCTAGTTGTGTCTTTTTTCGTTACGAGAGCAGTACTGTATTTATTGTTGTGTGGGTAGGCCTGTAGTTTTTCGTCGACTCTGAAAAATACACTTTCTTGTCTTCCAGAAAGCACCCCTCAAACCTCTCTGGACCTTATTCTGCGTGCACAACGGGCGTACGCCATACCTGGAGCAGTACCCTGAACCGGAATCTCCAGCGACACATGGCCATAAGCCAGTATGGCGGGCGTGTCTGAAGACAGCCAGACATGTTACAGCGAGTGTCAAGCCGCATGTGGGGGATGAGTACGATTTTTTGATCGACACCGACCATGGACCGGTCAGAATGCTCGCTCCTGATTGGTGAGTTTTTGTAATTTAGTTTTTTTTCAAACTCCCGTGGCAAACAAGTTTGCACCCACTAATTTAATTACGTCATCTAGCCAGGGCTTGTAGCTGTAAAGGTATCTAACTGTGTGACGAAATACTTTCATAGATTTATCATAGATGGCGCTACTGTTAAGGGCGACCATACACGGGCAGCTTGAAGCAGCTAGTATCGAACGCTTCAGGCTGCGACCGCATAGCAAAGTACAGTTTTCTATGTAGACACATATACGAAACTGCTCGAACAGTTGCGACTGTTTCGGGTGGTTTGCAGCGTGGTGAAATTTCATCGTGCAGTCAAGGAATCGCCAGGCATACACTGACTGCTCGAGCTGTCGACTGCTCTCGCGCAGTTCATTCCACGTCACGCGCGCAGCAAAAGAAGCAGTAGTAGTGCTTCTTCCTCAAAATCCATGTTGCTACTGATTTAAATGAAATTGAAATTGTGACACACCAGCAGTTATCAATGGCAGCCTCAAGCTGTTGACTGTGACTGCAAAAGCGGTCCGTGTATGTTGATCATTGGCTAACGGCTCGAGCAGGCCGTGTATGGCCATCCTAAAAAGTCGTTGAACAAGGACATAGAAAAATTCGTGAGGTCCGCTGGTTCGTTCCGTAGCTTAGTTGGCATAGCGTCTGGCCCGGTTTACTAGGAGACGTTGGTTCGAATCCGGCGAATCTTTGTATTAATAATTCAGTAGTACTACAGCTCCTTGTGAAAGAGTTCGTCCGGGGAAGTACTGCCACCTTACCTATTTCTGCCGCCAAGCAGTAATGTTAGCATTACTGCGTTACGGTTTTTGAAGGGTAAGGTAAATTGCACATGGGACTTTTCAACTTATGTCTCAGGGTGATGGGCGCTGTGCCATTGCCCATAAGTTCTTTGCGATATAAAGCTCTGAATGGCACTGCAACTGTTATGGACCGGCGTGTCACTTACTACCAGGTACACGACTTGTCCTGTCACTTACTATCATAAAAAAATGAAAGTTTTCTTAGTATGGACATACCCATTTTACCCGGGATTTTTTCTGATGTGTCCAAAAAAAATCTCGAAAAAATCCCGGAATTCATATTACAATATCAATGCGTATAAAAGGTCTTTTTTTTACTATTTATTTTCTAAACATTCCAAAATATAGCGAAACTTCCAACGGACACTACGATAACTTTTTGGGCCTGTTCAATTTTGATTGCTTTTTTGTTTCTTTATTTTTTTATCACAAAATTGAGTTTTTGTTTTTTGTTCGAATTTTTGTTGTTTATTTTTCACAAAATTCTGAGAGCTTATTATTAGTAAACAAATGTGGCTGGTTACAAAAATAACAGAAAATTATCAAAAAATAAAGATGGCGTAGTGTTCATAGGAGGTATCGATATCTTACGTCTATTTTTTAAATGACTAAAGTATTTAAATGCCTAAGTATCTATAGAAACACAACTACAATATAATTTTCACTTCTCATGCCCTTAAAGTTCGTATTTATGCTGGGTGTAGGCTGCATAAAATAGGATTTTATGCTCTAGTGCATAAAATAAAAAAAGCACCGCATTAAATATGTCTAATTGTTGTAATTTTACATTCAATTTTAATTAAATAATCGTTTATTTAAACGTATAATATAATATTGCTGTTTAATTTCCTCGCAATCGAAGTGAAAAGCAGAGTGTATAACTCGTTCATAAAACCCATTTTACCCTCGACTTAAGTATCCACCCTTGCCTGCGGCTCAGGTGGATATACTAGTGTCGGGTAAAATGACGCTTTTTATGCACTAGTTGTACAATCTACTATTTTTGAGACAATCATTTGTAGCAATTACTTAATAGGAAATAATGATAACTTGTCACCAATTTCTTTTTCTTTTTTTTTTTACGCAATATACATATAATATATTCATATATAATATACTCATATTTCAATAAGTAATAAGCACATTGAAAGATTATGTATCAATTATTAACTGCATCCGTTGCCAAACGGTTACCAAACTCGACTGCCACGCAGAGGTCCCGGGTTCGATTCCTGGGCCGGGAGAAATATTTGTATGGCCTACATTTATTTATCTCGTGAGTTTGGGTGTAATTTGTGGTTGTCTATGTGCGTGTCATACAGGGTTTCCCTAGTGCAGGGCTATGAGTGAGTTGCGTTAAAAAATTTATTATGATTAAATTTCAATTTCCCCTACAATTCCCGGGGTTTGTAGAAGAGAATGTCCACGTTATTCTTTAGTTTAGCTAAATTAACTTCCTCAATTACGTTCGTGATACATCGACTGGACAATTGGGAATAATGGAACATCCGTGTATTTCAGGGAATCGATGCAGGACTGGGTGACCACGCTTCGCAGCAAGCTGCACGAGCTGAAAGTGCTGTCCAAAGGCGAGAATGTCTACTGCGCTCCGCCGATAGCCCCCCCGCCCCGCGCGGCTGCTCGCGACCCCACTTCCCCGCTACCGCCTACTCCAGCCGTGCCTCCTGACAGGTACAACCGCCGAAGTCAAATAATTATTTCGTCTGCTTAAAGGTAAAACCACGTAAGTGACATTTTGTCACAAGTGACAAGTTGTCAAATATCCGTTTCAGACTTAGACGATGGAAACTAAAGGACATGTTATGTTGACATATATAAATCAGACGTTATATGTATATGATGCATTTCGACGTTGAAAATATAAACATGTTATTGTCTTTGTTTAACTATTGCGTACCGACTTAAGCCAGAAGAGATAGCATTACATTGGTCTATGTCAAACACGGGAATCGAAAATACGTAAGGTCCTCTTAAATGCCAACTGTGTCCATTTCGCAGTACATGAGGTACATGATACGGTTGTCAAAGGGAAGTACGTCAAATGTCAAAACAAATTTTTTTCCAAGTGTTTTATTGAATTATTCGCATGTGTTGGAATAAATTGGACAAAAATATTGACAGTGAGAACAATTAAGTATTAATAAAAATTCGTCGCTGCAGCATTACGGGATGTGGCATTTGAAAAAGCGAAGATCTACCGAATGTAACATTGTACTGGGACCTGTTATTTTTCTGTCTATAAATCACACAAAAACCCAAATATCTCACGTAATTAAACATATTTATGTAGTTTATTCATAAATCTTGCCAAATTTTGCTTTGGTTTCTTCAGATTGCCGAAACAATCGACGAAACATTCGTGTCGAGTGGTTAAAACAAGTTCACACATTCGTGCAATAAGCGATGCGAATAGCGATGCGATGCACGACATGCATGTGTTAACGGTCACTTCGCTATTCGCGTCGCGCCTCGTATCGCCACTCGTGCGATCGCGTCGTAAACGGTATTTCGAGCACGAGTCAAAGAACACGAGTTTTTTTTAAAGGTGTATTTTTTTTTGAGAGAGAAAAGTATACAAACTACAATAAATGGTGAATATAAACTCTTGATATTTCATGGCATGTATCCATATCATTTTCGTAAATATTTGTACAATGCATTTTCATTAAAATGTATACAAAATAATGTTATTGTAAATTCTCGGACAACACTCAAACGGGGTAATTATCACGGACTTGTATATTAAACTGGACCGCGCACTAAGTTAATAAAACGAGCCGAGTTAGAGGCTTCAAAGTAGTAATGCGTCTCGTTCATTCATGTTTCAGCCAGCCATATTGTTTTTAACTTTTTAATTTTTACAGAAAATGTAGCCAGCCGCTTATGGATGACCAAAACTACTAATATTATTTCGTAATACAAATTAGTATACTTTTTTGATATGCTACTTCATAATAGAAGGTTATATATATTAGTAGTAATATTATATTTTACAATCTTTTATTTTTTATGCATTTCTATTCCTTATAACGTATTAGAGTTACTATTGCCTACTTTTTTAATTTTGTAATATAACACGGATTAAAAATATAAAAGTAAAACTTTATTTTATAAAGTTCTAGTGTGCGTGGCGCAGGCGTCATTGCCTCGGTCTTAAACGACGATTTTATTTTATGCACTAGAGCATAAAATCCTATTTTATGCAGCCTACACGCAGCATATATACCAACTTCAAGAGCATGAGAAGTGAAAACATAAATATTGACTACCGCCGCTAAAAGACTGTAAAAAACCCGAATAAGTGAACTAAGTTATTTAAGAGAAATTGAAAACAATTTATTAGAACTACATTGAAAAATATTACTGAGTATCCGATAATTAAATGAAGACATGGCTCAAAGGACTTATATCTAAGCCAAAACCATTAATAAAAAAAGGAACGAATAAGTAAAATTGTGTGTAAAATAAAAGTGGGTAAAATTGCCTAAAGAGACTGAACAAAAACATAATTATGAGATTGCATTTTTAAATACATATTTTTCTTATTTTTACAAATTATAAATAGAAAAATTAATTACCATCAATATCAATCAAATCATTATCATCTTGTGATATTGAAGGGTAAGCTTCATTTTTTCCAATTTTTTACTTTTCTTACTAAAAGAGCTAAAAGATTTAGCTACCAAATATTTTGTTTTGTACCTAATAATTTCGTAAATCTGAATAAATCTATATAGCTAAAAACTGGCTACATTAGCAACACTGAGAATTACTGTTTATAATGCATTGGCTCAGTTCATAAGGAACAATGTTATTAAAATTTAGATTATTATTTATCCACTTATCATTATTTTCAGCTATTACCATCTCATTTCCATTTCATAATTTCCATCCTTCATTGTTTAGATTTACCTCTCCTGTTGATCACCGTACCAAAATTCCGTTTGTTTTTATTTTTATTCCGCGATTTCCTTTCCCCGTTTTTAAATTCCTATTATTATCCAAAACCCCACATGAAAGTTCCACAACAACAACAACTGCGACGACAATGAATATCCTGAAGTCTCAAGAAGGAAGAAAGTTTAGGAAGAATCATCAAAAATTGGCAACTCAATCGAAATTGCATATGGCCAAAGGCTGGACGCCATAGCGCCAGGAAATAAGAAAAAAAAAAGTAACTTCGCGTCGCCACTCGTATCTAACTTCGCGACGGCACTCGTGCCTAACTTCGCGCGATACGAATAGCGAAGTGACCGTTTACACATGCGTGTCGTGGATCGCATTGCTATGTGCATCGAATATCGCACGAATGTGAGAACGCATTATTGGAAAAACGGTCATCAAAGTGAAGGTCATTGCACCTTGTGATAGTTCTTTGGAAAAAAAGCTTATTCATTATTAAAAGACTTTTTGGAGTAAAATATCACTCAAACACATAACTTTATTCAATATAGGTTGTATTGAAACCTTTTTTAGGTCGTAGATTCGTAAATTTTAAAAAGACCTGAGTTTTTCACGCCATTTTCGCAAATTTTCCGCGAATTCCGCCACTACCCGGGATTATTTTAATTTATTTTAAAAATAGTAAAAAACTATTTTGCATGTGATTCTAGTGTTAATTGATAGGTATTTAAATGCTCATCACCTTACGTTTTGTTTCTTAAGAAAATGAGTATACAAAGTGGTTAAGAATTAAATCGTAAAACACTGAAAATTTCTCAAAAGTATTCAGAAAGTCGTCGTATTACAATCATAACTGTAGTCTAAACAAAGGCTACTTAAGTGCTCTTATCGCTCATGTTATTTTTTTTGCTGTAGCTTAATTGGCTCTCGAGTTTCAAGTGTTTATATTACACGAGCCTTTTAATGTAAACAATAAAAAAAAAAGAGGACGCGGCGTGATGACGTAAGCTTGCGCCTGAGCGTGCAAGCGGATATGTCAAAAGTTACACGGAGCATAATTTGGATTAAGAGTATCAGTACTAGAGGTGGGTGATAAATAACGTCACGATGAAAAAATCACGATGATCCGCCGTCAAAATGTATCACTGTGACTCGTTCCGAAGGAACGACGTTCCAAAGTCACATAGGTGTTCCTCCGTTCCAATAGCTATCCCCGTCACTCACATCACGACATACGTATTTGATACAACGCGCGAGCTCCGTTCCGTGGTGACTGAGCGCGCCACTCGTTGTAGTTCTCATCAAATCGGGCCATTTCGGCGATGGGAGTGAATGAAATAGGATGATTTTCTTTGCTCACTCACAAGGGTCGTAGATGCTTATTACTACTAAAAGGCGGATGAAAAAAATCTGCAGCAGTTATTATAAACCTATTTATGAACAAAGTCAAATATTTTTGTATATTTGTTTTATTATAGGAAGAGTTGGTATTTTATATTTATGTATAATCTACTTTGTGTATTTACTAAAAATATAATTACATTACACTTTATTGCTATTTTTAACAATCCAAAGATTCGCATTAAATAAGTAACAAACAAAATTACATTAAATACAAAATCAACTTTTTGCATGGAATTGAAACTTATTACAAAGGGAGTAAAAACTTAAATCATTGTTTAAAAAAGGCTATAAGTATTAGAAAGAAGCCGCTGGCTAAAACCGTATATCGTGATGTAAGTTACAGGCGTGACAAGGTCACGGAAGTAACAGTCGTGACAAAATCACGATGATTTATCACTGATTTTTTTGGAACCGGAACGACAGTCACGGCGATAGAAATGTAACGCTAATCCCCATCTCGAATCAGTACGATATTCACTTATTATCACTTCATTCCACAACTTTGTATCGCGGCGAAGTGTTCTCAAAAATTCCTCTTTTGGAGAGGCCTATGTTGCGTTTTGAACTCAGTTGGAGAACCTTATACCAACGCAGTGAACACTTTGATAGCGCGTTCTATTTCAGAGCTAACGCCATCTAGTGGATTTTTACGGTACCACATCTAATAATTTGTTTTGTAATTTATGTAGGTTATAATTTATTTTTCATCATCAACCCATGTCCACATCCCACTACTGGGCACGGATCTGCTCTCGAGGGTTTAAGGCTGTAATGGTGCAATGTGGGTTGGGACTTCACACGTCTTCGAGATTTGGGAACCTTCGACGTGCAAGCTCCGTGGCCGAAAGGTTACCATGCCAGACTCACGCAAAGGTCCCAGACTCGATTCCCGGGTCGGGAGAAATATTTGTATGGCCTATATTTATTTCTCTCGTGAGTTTGGGTATAATTTGTGGTTCTCTATGTGTGTGTCCATGACACCCGCGACATAGGGTTTCCCTCGTGCGAGTGTGTGCATTATTATTATAACTCAATATGACCAAAAGTGCCGCTTATGCCATTTTGCCTTTCAAGCGTCGATATTATGTTAAATATTCTTGTTTTATTTTTCGTATTGCATGGGAAATAGAATCAATTTTATTTTCAAACAAACCGATGTTTCGGACTTTTGGCCAATGTTGATGATTTTACCATCTCGGTCACCCGTGATCATGGGACCTGTAAGGTGCCCCAAACTTTGATTTGTTTGAAAAAACTAAATATACGCGATTTGCAATTAAGATCCGAAAAAATAGTTTTATTTCCTGTTCGTGACAGCCGAGTTTAATTTGATATTTTTAATTTTATTGAATATAAGTTGCGTTTATATTATTTTCTCAAACTTGTTCGGAAATCTTTGCTTTCAAAAAACGAACACGGAAAATTTGTCATTTATGGACCGTGCGACTTCTTCTCGGCCAGCGCCGAAAAGTAATGAAAATCCATTACTGTCCACTTCTCTAAACTTTTCACGTACTGACAATGAACTATGTAAACAGTCAAATGAGAATCTCATACAGCCAGTGTTCATAATTGCGAGAATTTACCGTTTAATTAATATGTTTTTACTTTTTCTTATGCATCTTCCTCTCTTTTGCCTTTTATTATTTCCTTGCATTGTTTGAGAAAAAATCTATATATGCCACGGGGGGAACGGGGATTGTTTGGCTTGTATACAAGGCCTCACTGGCCTCATACTCGTCCAGCAATCCCTTACTTCCCGGCCTCTGCAATAACGTACTAATAATAATATAGTAGATTATTTTATTATTTTTCTCAAGCAATGTGAGGAAATAGTAAAAGACTAAAGAGAGGAAGATGTATAATAAATATTAATTAATATTAAAAGTAATATATAACGTGTTAGAACAATTGCTAAAAGAAGAATGTTATTGTTTTTCCAGGCACGTTAATAGTGGTCTGATGAACTTGTGATGATGTGTTTGAATGTGTATCTATTACTGTATTTTCATTATCGCTCTTCTCATGACCACTCACTTTCGGGACCAAAATCATTGACTTACAAATAAATGAACGACGGGTCTAATAGAAAAACCACGAAAAAAATGTCCCAAGTCAACCTATTTAAACGTAGTGACATGTAAAGGAATATGAAAAAGCTAAAACGTTGAATTTAAATTGTAATGTCATCGCAGTACTGTCTAATTTTGCTTGCTTCGCTGTCAGTCGAACAAACGAAGACTAAAGCGTGAATGACGCTCTGTATACGATTTTAGCGCCCTATAAGTTCGGACACTTTTTAGCGCGGACCCGACGTCCATATAATTGTAAGTCAATGACCAAAATACAAAAATGACGAAAAAACAAAGAATACCAAAACACTTCAGTTTAAATGTTACCGCCATTTTTTGTAAGTTAGTGGTACAAGTATTTTTAATTCTCGCAATTATGAACACTGATCAGTTGGCTGTACAAGTTTTTCTTTTGCCTGCTTACATAGTTCATTATTAGTAGATAGATTTAAAAGTTTAAAGAAGTGGCCAGTAATGGATTTTTATACTTACTTTGCAGGCCTTGGCCGGGAACACGGTCCATAAATGACAAACATTCCGTGTTCGTTTTTTGAAAGTAATGCAAACATTTCCTACCATGTACACAATACGTTTCTTTTTACAGAGTCCCTGGGATAGAACTAACAACCACCGTACTTCGTTCCCAACCGCCAGAGGTTGCACCACCTCCAGAACCTACCCCAGAACATCTAGATCCAGATATAGACATCTCCAACTGGGACACACCCTTCAATTCGCTACCTAGTACCGCTGGAACTAGTATACCTAGTACGAGCCAAGCTAGTACAAGTCAAGATGGCGGTAGAGACAAGAAATTGGAGCCCAAAAAGAGTGTTGCCAAGATTTGTGGGCAAAATATTTGTCTAGATGATTCTATCTTTAAAAGGCATCAGAATACAGGTAAATAAAAAATAATAATTAAAAAACCTCTATAGAATAATAATAACACACACACTCTGATGAACTCGGGTACTATCAGCTAACTGATTCATGATTTGCCTGACTGACTGATGAGGTGGAACACATAGAGAAGAAGACTTAAATTTTCCTTTTATATCTAACTATATATTATAAAAAATACAATATAGGTGTGGTCTGGTGAGTCTTCAAGGGTTGAGAGAGGACGGCGTTGCATCCGCCGCTGGCTGACGCACGCAGTATACATGTCTGTGTATCTCGTCGACAGTGCGCACAAATATGCTAAGCGTTAACACACCATAGCTAGGGAAACCCTGTATCGCGTGTGCCATATACACACATAGACAACCACAAATTACATTTTAAAAAAACCGACTTCAATAGTTCGCGGAACTACATCTTATTTGCCAAGTTTTATTGGAATTAGTTACCGGAAAGTGCGCGGTACCTTAGAGGTGGAATAATTTTCATTTAATGGAAGAATTTTCTTCAAATTTAAATGGGACCGTTAATAAATTCAAATTCATTTATTCAATATCAGACAACATAGGAGATATATATATTACATCACATTACCAATTATATTACATTCATTATATGGACACCAGAAGTATCAATTAATGTAAGGGACAAACCACGGTTTTTTAGGAGAGCCAAAAAACGATTTTATTTTTTTTAATCTGTCTATAACTTACTGTCTGCCCCAATTTTGATTGTGTCTAGAGAAAATTTTCTTAGAATTTCCTCTTCCTTTATGATATAAACATAAAATGTTAGTAATGTAAGGCACAACTAAACATCTTTTTTTAATGTTTTTTAATGTAAGGGACATTTTAGACCACTGGGCATTCCTAAATTTTAATAACACCAATCGATAGAGAGGGAACTTCCGAAATCAATGATATAATATGTAACTCATTTTCGACAAAATGTCCCTTATGTAAATTGATACTTCTGGTATCGATATTTGAAGTTACGCTAATGAAATTTTAAATAATCTCCAAATATATAAAATTAATTCAAATAATCAAAATTAAAAATTAAATTACAATTAACAACATTCATGGCACATGATCGTGGCACCTTTTGTTTGAGTGTACCATACTACAGTGGTTTACGTAAGTGCAATCTGGCCTGCCAGCTATCATGGTCAAGATGCTCTTGGCGCTCGCTTGCGCATTGTTGCGTGGAAACAATCTACCCGCGCCTACAGTACCTGGGCAGCCCCAGCAACACCCTGAACGAGTCATTGAATTTTACACGCAGAGCACCGTACTGCCTTTACTTATATCCCGCCTACAAGCGGCTAGTATACAAAGATGTACAGAAGGCTTTAAATAGAGTTACCTTTTTAACAATGACCGTTACTAAGTTACCCTCTTTCCAATAAAAAAGAATTATCAAAATCGGTTCTCACTTCAAAGAAAGGAAGAGGTTCTCTCAATTCGACTGTGTTTTTTTTGTATACTTTTACATATGTGACCCGAGTTTGATGATTCTTTCAGATGATTCTGGTTTTGTTGGAAAGAAGGTACCACTGTAGTGGTCCCATTTCAATTTGAAGAAATTATTCCACCTCTAACGGTGGTAAACTAGGGGATGAATCCGGTTTCAATAAAACTTGGCATATATATTTTTTTATTTTATAAAATATAAGTGCGCATTTGACCTCCATCTCACCGGATGGAAAGTGACAATGAGGTCGAGGATGGAGCATGCATGCCTAAATAATGCCTATTCACTCTCGCCTTGAAAAGACCCAAGTTATAACGGAACAAGGGAACAAGGGAATTTATAAGGGAACAAGTCAGCAGGCAGGGAATTCCACTCCATAGCCGTTCGCCATATAAATGTGGAAGCGTAACGCTGCGTGCCAAACTTTGGAATATCCACGACTTAGGGGTGGAACCCAAACCTACGCCTAGTCCCCCGGTGATGGAAAGGCGTAATAAAGCGTAAATAGGCGTGTAATTCCATCGCGCACTCTCCGTGATACATCCTGTGAAATACCGATAAGCAGGCAACTTTACGGTGGTGTTCAAGGCTCTGCAGCTTCGGCTCCACTAATTCTGAGTCACCTATAAGCCTCTTGGCACGGTTGTCAATTGCATCCAAAGTGGCCCGTTGATATGTGGCAGAGCCATCCCAAAGGTGGCAGCAGTACTCCATGCACGACCGCACTTGTGCTTGGTACAGCTGAAGCAACTGTCCCGGTGTAATGTAACGCGTCACCCTGGAAAGGATCCTAAGCTTCCTGTAATGATGTAAATCCACGAACTTTTGAGGTCGTTTTTTTTTAGTAGTTTGTACTAAGAAAAAAAAAAAAATAATAATAATAATCGAGAAAAATATTCTCCTTTTGAATGTGGATTTGACCCTAAATAATAAATCTTCAGCACGAATTCTTCTTGCTTTACATTTTTTAACATTTTGATATTTATTCGTCTAACTTCAGGGTCAACAGACAGCGATGAAGAATTCTTTGCCGAGATAGACCGAATCAGTGACTCAGTGGAAAACCTTAACATAGACTCGAATGAACCTAGATCTGAACAAAGGAACGAGCTAAGGTCCGAGCCGAACACTGAACTCAGGACAGAATATAAGCAGACCTTTGTTGTCAACGACAAAACTGGATTGGCTAGAGCGCTTTCCGAAAGTGGAGAGACTAAGTAAGTCATAACTCACGATTTTTTTTATATGTCGACTGTGAACTGGCAATCGGTACTATCTCAATTATAGCAACTTTACAGGATGAAGAAAAAAATTTATATAGCATCTGGTTTAAAAAATAAAAATACGTCGTTTTGAAATATTTTTATTTCACATGTCTGTATACTAAGTGTTTTTATTTAATAAACCAGATGCTATTTAAATGATTTTTCCTTCATCCAGTAAATTTGTCAAAATTGATATAGTACCGGTTGCCAGTTAACAGTCGACATGACATATAGCGACGGAACAAAGAAGTCGTGCGCAAGAACATCTACAGTGCCACTCAGAGCTTTAAAACACAACCCTGACACATAAGTTGACAAGTGCCTGTAATTTTTTCAGTATTTATTTATTAGCGAACATGCAATAAAATTGCATTACATGTAAGGGCGTAGCTAAGACTTAAAAATATATATTAGACATGCAATTTATTTACCTTAAAAATGATTAATAATTGAAAAATAAACAATAAAAGTATTAAATAATAAAATATCTTAATAATGTTATGTAGTATCAATTAAATAATGAATCTACGTACTAATTATTATAATTGTAGACCTTGATATAGGGAGATCAGAGTTCTTTGTCTTTAAACAAGAACTCTGATCTTGATTTGCATAATAACACTTGTATGAGGAGAATTTTGAATGATAATTTCACCAGCACCCTTAATTAAATTTCAACCGGATAGGAGGATCTTTTTGTCGGGCCGCCATCTTGAATCGTCCATTTTGAAAACATAATTTTGTCGTCTAGTTAGATCATATCGCCCTCTACGATGTTAGTTAGCTACGATGTTACTTCGCAGGCCTTGGTCGGGAAGAAGTCGAATTGTCCATAAATGACATGCTTCCCGTGTTCATTTTTTGAAAGTAATGCAAACATTTCCGAGCATGTTTGAGAAAAATTATTAACATTATTATTAGTACTGCACTCTCGTTGCCGTGTTACTGAAGGCATAAATTAACAAAGTACATTATTTCCTTTCAGTGACCATCAAACAACAAACATAACTGTAATTCAAGTTTCCAACAAGCCCCCGCATACGGCCATACCCGTCCTGGGTCCAGAAACAGATATTTTTGACTTCACATTCCAACAGAACTTGTCTGTCAACGACTGCCAAACTGCCAGTCACAACGGCAGCAATATGGCGTCTGTCAACCATAGTGACATTGTCAAAGTTAACTTCAAGCCTGTTTCTGATTCACCGACAACTAGTAACATTGACAATACTACAAACAATTTCGTCAATATAGTTAACACGGAAGTCAATGTCACTGAAAATGGTTACGGGACAGTCTTTGACAAAGATTCCGATTACGGCCACTTAAGTTTGACGACTACAGTCAATTTGACCGGTCATCCTGCGGATTCGTCGCGACAACATGTCGATATGTCACTTCAACCCGTGAGCTTGACTCGTCAACATGTTGACTCGTCGAGACAACCCGTGAACTTGACTCGCCAACACGTGGACTCGCCACGACAACCTGTAGACTCGTCGCGACAACCTGTGAGTTTGACTCGTCAGCATGTGGACACGCGAGTGGACAGGGAAGGTGAAGGAATTTATGAACGGTTGTGTTTAGCATCTACGTCAATAAATAATGCTAGTCCCTTACCTATTAGAAAAATTAAAAGTACAGATAGACACAGAAAAAGCTCTTTACCCAATCTGGAAGTTTCCGCTTCGGAGTCGGCATACGAATATCTCTTCCCAAATAATCACAACACTGTTACTTTAAACTCGGAACAAAATGTAACAGTAAATAGTGATGGGCATAGAAATAACAATTCGAATACAAGTGACACGAGAACAGGTAATGATAGACTGATAAAAAATGATATTAGGAATAGAGTTACAAATGATATTAGAAATAATGATGTACCAACTAGTGTAAATAATGAAAACTTAAGAAGAAATGATAATACAAGGAATGAGAATTCGAGAGAAAATTACACGGAACATTCTAGAAATCAAAATTCAAGAGTCAACCTGACAAGCACTCCTGGTAACCTGGCAAATTCACCTGGTAATCTGGCAAATACACTTGTGTCAAATGTGTTGGAACAGAGAAGAAATGTGGAAAGATCTCATAGTCAGAATGCATACGACAGCTCGCCGAGATTGAGGGAGTATATACGACGACAAAACTCCAGCCCTAAACGCGATAACAAGAACGGTGAGTGAATATTTTAAAAGTAAATAAAAATAAAATATCTTTATTTTCAGACAAAAGTTCTTAAAGATATAATTTATTTACTGTAAATGTGCATTTTTTTAAATAAACGATATCTTTTTTGTGTTTGATATATATATTAATTTTTCCATCTATATTAGTTGATCTACGGATAATTTATAAATAAACTGCATGCAAGGTGACCCTATAATTATGTTTAAGCATACTAAATTAATATTTGGCATTCAAAAATAATATTTGGTCCTCTTTTTTTAGCATTGGTCTTTTGATATTTGATATTTTTATGAATGATATTTTTTACCCGTATCTTTTGATATAGATGTGCCAGAAGCCAATTTGCTTGCATTTCCGAACATGTTTTCAGGTCACATGATGTTATAATTAATATAATATTACTGTACAAATATAATCAAACATTTACTTGGTTTTAAAAATAAGTATCTAAATTTATTTTTATTGCTCATTTGGGTAACTTAGCAAACGCGAATTTTTTTTCCGTAATAACGTTTGTTCGAATTTTCATTACACCGAAAACCGAATTGTAACGAAACTGTCTTTCAAGATATGTTGGATGTTCATCGCAAAGACACGATTAGGTTCGGTTAGGTTAAGTTAGGTTTAAAAGAAAAAACATTTTCCTCTCAAAATTACTTTCGAGGTTATGAAAATTCAAGCAAACGTTATTTCTAGAAAACGTCATTTCGGACTACGGATAGGTAACCCTCATTTGTCTTAGTTTTGAGGTCTAACATAAAACTGTCAAAGTTAATTTATACAAATCAAAAATTTTTTGTGTAGCTCAGAACAGATTAAAATATCGATTCATTGACCTACTAACAAATGGACGTCGGGTACGCGCTAAAAATGTCTGCACCTATAGGGCGTTAAAATCGCATACAGAGCGTCAATCGCGCAACAGTCTTCGTTTGTTCGATTGACAGCGCGGTTGTCAATCATGCAGTACTATATAATAATAACTCGTAAAAATTACTGCAGTAAAGTGTAAACACAGGATTTTGTATCATATTTTCACTAAACAAATGTATTGTGTTATCATAGTTCTCATTTAAAAGTGTTATTTTGTACAGTTGTATAGTATCTCATTTATATACATATAAATGAATCGTAAATATAAATTACAAAAGCAAACAAAATAATCAAATGACTGACTGTCCTTTTTCTACACATTGCATGCGCAAAAGTTGGAAAGAGACCCATTACGTCAATTTGATGAAGCTTGTATAAACTTCTTGGTCATTTTCAATTGTTCGAACCACAAGCGATTGAAATATTTAGAACAAAGAAAATAAAGAATCACTTTGATTATAATCTTATTTTTTTTAATTTTTTTATTTTTTATTAAACGTTATCAATAATTAACAAAATAGTGTTGTACTCCTTTTACGGCTTGGGATTACCTATCAGAAGTCAGAAAATACATTTGCCCGAAATAACGTTAGATCGAATTTTCATAATGTCAATTGTATTTTTTTAGTAATATTACAAAACAATAGCTAATTTTGGTTTTGTGAGAAGCATCAAAATTACTTGAAAGCGTAACGGTTTTATTATAAATCGGTTTTCGGAATTGCGGATATTTGAGTTCACTGTTAGTTGGAACGTCGGTACATTTTTTATAGTACACGCTTATTTTCACATTTACAATATTTGTTTGTATATATCGACCCCTCCCACGTAAAGTGTCGTATGTCGAAATTGCCAAGTTTACAGGGGAGCCTTTTAAAGTTCTCAAATCACTGAAATAAGCATAACACGTGACTTCTCACTTTTATTGGGCAAATCTCGTTACTCACATAGAGTATTATAAAATCCTAGATATCGCTTAGATTATCTACTAGATGATTACAACACTTTGCCGAATGAAACGGAGAACTTTAAAACACTCCCCTGTAAACTTGGCAATTACGACATACGATACTTTGCGTAGGAGGAGTCGATATCTGCCCAACTCTTTATTATTTCTTTAAGTGAATTTGTACAAAATTCGACATACTAATATATATAAATATTATTAATATTTACAATAAAGGCTGCTCAATTACTCTTGTGTTCAAGTAATTTTCATTTCAAACTAAATATGGTGCATTTTGTTAAGTTTCCAGTAGAAGCTGAACATGGTGTTTTTGGGCCCTTAAATTGTTGCAAGCAAAATTAGACAGTACTGCAATGACGTTACAATTTAAATTAAATGTTTTGGTTTTTTTATATTTCAATACATATTACTACGTTTGTATAGGTTAACTTAATTTTTTTCGTGGTTTTTTTTATTAGATATATATATATTGGACGTTGTCCATTTGTTGGTAGGTCAATGTCTCAGTGAAAAAGGACCAATCATTAAAAAAGATGACTGTTTAGATTGTCTGCCTGCTGCTTTTGCAAATTTAAAATGATCATTGAAACATATGCCATTAAAAACTATACAAGGTTATTTTTAATAAAATTCTAACAACCACTCAGGGCTATATTTCTAACATCAAAAGTAACAACTTTTCTTCCATGATTTAATTGAACCTACAACCCTGCGTGAGAGGCGGGAAGTCAAACTACGCCTATGACCATGTAATAAATAAAGTTCCAGAACTTATCCAAAGAAGTGTACACAAATACTTTAAATAATAATTTATCTTTCACCTCAGACAAAACTGAAGCACCGCCAAAGCCAATCTGGAAGCGAGGTCTAACAGAGCTGTCGCTTCTAAGTAGACTGCGTGGCATCGGCCAGGGCAAACGACAGGAGAGCCCAACCAGAAACGACAGCGAAAATGACAGGTAAGTGGCAAATTTACTGCTGGGATACTTGCTCATTCTTCTTAGGGGAATCTACCTTACGAAAGACTAGAAGGCTTTTATTAAAATAAAAAACAATTTAACTTTGTCTATTAAATGGACGTAGTTAAGCGAAAAGGATCCAAACCACAAAATAATCAAAAATTAGTTACGTGTACCCATTGAGTGTATGTATAACCAGAAATAGAGACGAAATAAGCGCCATCCATCCCTGGCAACTCATCAGTCAAATGGACCTTATATCACTTTTAAATATCAACTCTCGTTTGCGCTGAAATCACAAATTAGAAAACTGAAATAGTACAGCGCAACAACTGACCTGTGTGTACGTCTCCGTATATTCCAAAAATATTCTGCATTTATTGTAATAAAGATATCTCTAGATCTCTCTAATAAAGATATAATATCTCTAACATTGGGGGTGTTTCATTCGGTGGTGTGGGAAAAACAGCAAAACATCATATTAAAAAACAAATGGAATCATATTTCATCGGTAATTAAATATTAATATGTAATTTTTCAATTTTCGTCCGTTATATCAAAGCTCAAGTTAAACTGGTCGCTTTGAATTCGGGCTGGCCAATCGGAGCACAGTTGTCACCGTGATGATTTGGCAGAATAGTTTTCAAACAAATTAAATGACATTTCTTCGCTATAGTTTCCCAAAGTGGTCTCTACCCAGTGGGCGCTAAAAAGTCCTAGGGCGCTCCAGTGCTTCAATTGTCATTGAGTTTATGCAGTTATTGAGAATTTTGTTTGAAAAGATCACATTTCTTTCAATACATTGTTTTTTTTTACAGAGTGGTGACGTCTCCAGGCAAAGTGGTGCATCGATCTCGCCCAGAAGGCAGAACGGACAACACTCGAAGAAGAAGTAGCTCACTTAGCAACGGTAAGTTTTGTCACACCCCGGACACTCCATACAACAGTCGAAACATATTTACCTACTACCACTACTACATACATCAAGGCCCTATCTGCACACGCGCAAATACGTGCGTGAAGTGACAGGGTTGCCCACCACTGTCTCGTAGTATTACGTTACGTGGTCAGAGTGCCTACTTTTAAATAAGGTAACCAAGGTATTTGAAATTGCGTGTCCAAGTTTATTATTACCTAGTTAATCATTAGGTATATTCACTACGTAATAAGCCTTAGTGGTTTGACCTGCTGCCTCTCAAGCAGAAGGTCGTAGGTTCGAATCCGGGGTCGCACCTCTGAGTTTCACGGAATTTGAAATATATCATGAGCTTTTCGGTGAAGGAAAACGTCGTGATGAAACCTGTACGTTGAAGAAGGTTCACAACCCTCGGAAAACGTGTGCCCCATCCCGCATTGGGCCAGCGTGGCGGACTATGGCCTAAACCCTCGTCTGAAAGGAGACCCGTGCCCAGCAGTGGGACACAAATGGGTTGATGATTATGATTACGTAATATTTATCGGCAATGCAAATTGAAAATTCGAGAACCCTTGTATACTAGCTCACGAAGTTATAGCGTCTCATTATACTGATATAATACATCTGTATTATATATTACTCTGCACTAAATAAACGAAGAAAACCGAATCAGTCTCAGACATAAGTTTTTGTCATCTTATAATAAACAGCCGTAACGTACAATGATGTTATATATTAATGTACAAGTTTCGTAATGAATAAATGAAAACTATATTCAAATATGAAATCGCGCGAAAGCGGCTCGCCGACAGCCTTGTTGCCGTTCAGTCAATGCGCGGGGCGTGGTGCGATATCTAAAGCTAGGGGCGGAGATTGTCCGTTCTCGTAACTTTTTTGTTATCTGGTTCTGTCACGCGGGTCTCGCGTGTTATGTAAACTCTAGCTAGTTCTTAATAAGCCTGGCATTAACGCCTCGACGCCGTAGAGTCCAGATATGAGGTTGCATTTCCTGTCCGATAACACGCTCTGCGCCGGAGCATTGATGCATCCTGATAATTAGTATTAAGGTAGATTTAAGACAGTAAAAACGTACTAAAATTGTGATTTAAAATAAACTATTATTAAAATTTTTTTTTTTTTTTATGAAAGCTCTCCGAAAGAGCGTAACTGGCGCAGTCGGTACAATAGCGCTGAACTGGACTACCAAAAATCGTGTTCAGTGTCCGTTTTAACGATTTACAGTGTGAATTATTTTCCCAAAAAAGTGACTTTACGTTTTGTGGAAGCTGCGATGCCTTGAGGGTTCACACCGCCTTCGTGAGGAGTAATTAAGATGATTGTTTTGATAATAATACTGTGAGTACAATTGGATTTGTAAAGTACATAACTTTTCCCATCCCGTTTCCACGAATTTTGTGAAAAAAATAGAAATAATAATAAGGTTTACTCATTTGTATTTTACGTTCATATATTTACTATAATATATCTGTACGGTTACGTACAACATTGAACTTTAATTTGCTTCATTGACATGATCTAGTTCTTGTTTTATTTTGCTGTAGTAAGATGTGCTAGTTCTAGTTATTTTGTTGATGTGGTAAATCGTATTATGACATTTTATTGTATTTTTAAGATAGTTACCAACTCCTAAACAATAAACATCAATAACATTTAACATTAACGTTTAACATTAACGTTTAACATTAACGTTTAACATTAACGTTTAACATTAACATTTAACATTAACATTTAACATTAACATTTAACGTTAACATTTAACGTTAACATTTAACGTTAACATTTAACATTTTCATGTAACATTAACATATTTTAAACATTTATATATGTAATACTTTATACTACATTTTCATTTACAATTAAATAACATTACTTTTAATTCCAACCACTACTCCGAAAACAACCTCGTGCTAATGGTTACCGCGTCGCGATCACGAGGTAACATCCTGTAAGGATAAAGTCGCTATTCTACCCTTACAATATCATTTAAACTGTACCGCACAGTCTTATTTGTTACTAATTGAATTGTTTCTTTACATTTTACTAATTATAATTTCGTAAGTGTGTCATGGTACAATTACAACTGTTTAATTTAGCTCTGAAAATAGTACCTGAATATAATGGAGATGCTAATTCCTTATATGGATATATTAGTGCATCTGATCATATCTTTACACAGTATTTTGACAATGAAAACGCGAATAATTTTCAAAGTATTATTGTTGTCAATGAATTGATCGGAACACATTGAAAAGGTCTTCGAGCGCCTTAGAGAGGCTAATTTTAAAATACAGCTCGATAAATCCGCATTCCTTAAACACGAAACTGTCTGTTTGGGACACGTAATCATCTCTCCAGACGGTATCAAACCAAAGCCAAATAAAGTTCGTGCCATAAAGAATTTTACAATTCCCACCAACACAAAAGAAATTTTTTTACCGAAAAAAAATAATTAAAATTAAAAATAGGAAATGAAACTATTTTTCCGGATTTAAATCGCGTATATTTGTTTTTTCAAACAAACCGACGTTTCGGGCCACGGTTGACTGAGGTGGTACAGTCTTCAACCAGTTATGTCTAATATTGATGCAAACCACCCTATTTTTTCACTATAGTTACAATAGTTATTAAGTAAATACCTTATTTTTAATTTTACAAAGAAACATTCCAATTTACGCTATATTAAGTTTTACAAATTATTTTATTGAATGAATTTTTATTAAGTTCAATTTATTATTAATTATTAATAGAAATTAGAATAAACTAAAACATATTAATTAGTACTGCAGTCTTATGTCTGTTTGGGATTTTTCGTTAGAGGAAATACTGGATCCCAAACTGGTGGTACGGAGAAACCAACGTCCCTGTTGAAATTAGGATGTTTTTTAATTTCAATGGCCTCTCGCAGCATCCTGGGTAGATAACGGACTTCTTTTGCAAGGACCTGGGGTTTGTCAAACTTCATTGAATGTGTAGGTTTATCCATGACATGCTCGCAGACTGCAGACTTGTTTACGCGACGTTGTTTGATATCAGTTATATGTTCTTTGACGCGGGTACAAATACTTCGCTTTGTTTGTCCAATATAAGAGAGACCGCACTCACAGTCAAGCTTGTAAACTCCTGCGTCCTGTAAGGGGATGTTACATTTCACGGGTCTCAGGAACTGAGAAATCTTCCTCAGGGGCTTGAAATAGGTCTTGATAGGTGCGCACCTGAGGATTCTTCCGATCTTGTCTGTAACACCTCTCACGTAAGGTAAGATGGTAGGTCTTCGCTCGACTGTTGGTGGTTTCACACGGGGCCCGCGGCATTGGCGTGGAATCTTCAACTTATTCCGGATTTAAATCCGGAAAAATAGTTTCATTTCCTATGTGTAACAATCGCGAAAACCTAAGAACTCGATAAAATTAAAAATTTTATAAATTTATTAAAAATTAAAATTACCGAAAATCTATACCCAATTCTTCGAAACTTACCAAACCTTTAACATCACGCTTGAAAAAGGGAGCAAAAATAAATATTCATGAACCAACTTGTGTAAAAACCTTTAAGCTTTGTCAAGAACTTTTGATGAACAATCCAATTCTCAGTTACCCAGATTTCGACAAAGAATTCTGACAAGAATGTTGAATGATGTTCTCGAAATATGCGCAAGCTTACCCCCTTGAGAGCATGTCAGGAGTAAATGCCATTAACGCACTTACAATTTGGATGACCTTACCTTTGAATATTACCGCCGATCAAGCCACGGAATTTCAAAATCTCCCTCTTAAAGAATTTGCTGCCTTACATAAAATAAACCTACATTTTACCAGTGTCAATAATCCACAATCCAATGGAGCCATAGAAAGATTTCATTCGACGACTTTAGAACGTTTTCGTTTGATCCAACAAAAGCACAAACAGTCCCCAATTACCGAAGTAATGCTGTTTGCCGTACTAGGCTATAATAATTCAATACATTCTGCAACAGATAAAAAACCAATTGAAATAAATAACGGCCAATTTGCCTTTTTACAATAACGCAGTGATTGAGTAGCTTGCACACCTGTTTTCATGGCGCCATCTGTTAGATCCCGGGTTCCATTCCCGGTCGGGTATGAGTGTCTGTGATGCCGTCGTTGCTTCCGATTTCCATAACACAAGTGCTTTAGTTATACTTACTTTGGGATCAGAACAAAGTAAGTGCTGTTGTCTAATATTTATTTATTTATTTATTATTGCAGAATACTATGATTTTGAACTGAAAAAACATTATCGATATCGATTCACAAATGTCGAAGTAATCAAATAACTTACAAAACAATACAATCCTCCTTTTTTGAAGTCGGTTAAGAAAGAAAGGGACACCTAGCGACATTGCTGCTGCGCTGTTGTCGCAGCGACGCGGCACACTTGCGTCGTTGTGGTTACACCCTAACAATTGCTATAAATGCTGTTTAGTTCAAATTCCTCTTTCAAAAAATAATCATTGAAGTGACGTTCACACATCGTGCAAACGTCACTGTCATCAAACATACACAATCGTGCGAAAATGGATTTTCAAAATGTGCCGTGATTACAAACTAAAAACCTATCACATACGAAACAAAATAAATAAACAACCCTACAATGTCTACAAGATTCCCGTGATACCTAAACACCGTTAAGACCCAAAATGTCAAAATGTAAGAAAGCAAAAAACCCTTGCAAGATTTGTCTACAATCTGTGACCCCCAAGACGGGGCTACAATGTCAAGGCGCTTGCGAAGCTTGGGCACATTACGCCTGCTTAAACTACACACCTGGACGCGTCGTCGATATCCGAAAAAACCAGATTACTGTGACCTGTCCATGTCCGGATTGCAAGACTTCTGTGCCAAAGGAATTTCAAACTAACACACCTTACACATGCAATAATATAGCGTGTCCCGCGAATCATCCTCCGGCTTGCGATGGCCCAGAATGTCAAGCTAATACTGCTACGAAAGGGAAACCAATACCTGTAGCACCACCAGGTACTTTAACGCAATGTGGGCCAGATTGTCAGGAGTACAGCGGTTGCCGCAAGTATGTCGCTTCAACGGTAAGTGCAAACAGATTGAAAGAAGAGAAAGAGAAGCAGATAATTGAGAAAACAAGAATCAGACAAGAGAGGATAAGAATGGAGAACATGTCCAAATCGCTCAGCCGAGGGTCCAGTGGGCGCGCAATTGCCGACGGGGGCCTTCTCGGCCCCTACGCAGACGGCGGCTATAACGATGAGTGTCCTCCGACGGAGCAAGAATGCAATGTACAAGAATTAATCGGAAATATTGGACAATTGTCCGAACAAATACACGAACTCATGAAACACCTCAAATGCGCGGGCAACAAAGACGTTTGCCAGAATCTAAGTGATAAATGTGCAGAACTGTCTGTGGCCTTGTGTTGGGCGTCTCGGATGTATGCTCGTGGCTCCAGTCCCGATTTGGGAAGAACTTGGGACAATGGCCGTACGTACTCGATTAGAACGACGTCATCTCAAGATTCTCATGCTACAGGCAGAGGGTTGCACCTGCAAACTCACTTCAGAAGGCCTGACCCTTTTAACTGTAGGTGCAGTAACAAGAACAGATGTACAATCAACGAAACCAATTCGTGCTACTGCCCTTAGTTACTGCAGCTATAAATAGAGTCCCAAATTTCCGAGGTAATGGACAACTAACGAACATTTTGAATACGTGGCATACCCATCTAATTTCGGGCATAGAGGGACAGACCGTAGGAGTACAGCAAAACGCTAATCATGCTTCTGTCCTGATAATTTTGGCACCTAAATAATGTCCCAGATATGTAATCCCTATCCCGAAAGACCACTCACTATTATAAGTTTTATTTTATTTAATTCTCTTATTATCATAACTTATTTTTATTATACAATTTTACAATAACCAATCTGTGTTTTTTTTTGTACGGTTTTAACTTTGAAAGAAGTATGCTTCCTATTTACGAATTGTATTTCTTACTTACTTACTTACTATACATTTGTATAGTGTTGGGTAGGGCATGAAATTAAAATGAGTTTGAGGGAGTAACCTCATTTGAAAAAATGAGGCGGTACAACGTGTGGGACGTTTTATCACGTGAGGTGTTGTGACAAACTAACCAAGCGAGTGATACAAACGAGTTGCCTCGTGTATGAGTAACTC